CTTCCTAACCTGTCCCAGAAGTCTGTGAATCTTTCTCTCAGGGGCACCCGACCATCTTTAGTATTAGCGTCTGTCTTTCTTTCGTTGCGCCCCTCCCGTGCGATCTGGCTTTGCGACAACCCACGCTCAGCGCAAAAAGTGTATGCGACAATTTAAACAAATAAAAATAAACTGTACCCACCACGCTACGAACATTGTGAGTGCGCGAGTCATCAACAAAATCGCTGACGCGCCCTTTTAGTTCCGCCGCGCATAGACTGAGCCTTTTGGATGTGGCAAAAGCACTACACTGTTTTTTGTTTTGCAATGATCATCGCAATTTCTTGGCAATGAAAACGCCTTTATTGCCACTGGGTCGGCAATGAAGCGCATTTTTGGCAATGAACTCAGTTTGGAAATGGGTCATTGCCAAAAATGCGCTTCATTGCTGATCCAGTGGCAATGAAGGCGTTTTCATTGCCAAGAAATTGCGATGATCATTGCAAAACAAAAAACAGTGTACTTATGCCGCTTTTCCCCCTGGACGCGAGCGTGTTATTGCAAATTGCCTTTATATACTGTGCTCAGCGGGGGGCACGAATAAACCCCTTCGGGCCCTTGAGATGTTCCAGGGCCGTTGCTCCCTCTCCGCCCTCCACCCCTCTTTCTTCCCCTCTCTCTCCATCTCTCTATCTCTCGGTCTCTCTCTCTATTTTCCTCTCTCGCTCTCTCCCCAGCACTTCCCCTTTGCGCCTCTCGGTTCGACATTTCGAGGCGCTACGCGCGCGGCGCCCCAACAAAATATGGCTAAGCGTGCCGAACGCTCCGGAGAGGAGGGGAGGAGAGTAGGAGGATGAGGAAGAGGAGGAGGAGGAGGAGGAGGAGGAGGAGGGGGGGGGGGGCAGGAGGTCCTCTGCAGTCCAGCAGGCCCAGGCCAACCTCTCTGGGCGAGGCGCTGCGCGGCGCCGCCGCCGGAGCCAGCCGCGTGGACGGCAGCCAATTTCCGCCGCTTCGCGAAACGACTCCATTTCTTATTCGCAAACGCTTATTTATGTGGTGTGTACGGCCATGGCCTGGCTGGGGTCTGGCTGGGGCCGCGGCCGGGGCGAGCAGTGCAGCGTCCCCCGCAGCCCTATCGCCACTAATTCCGCAAAAGTCATCCAATAAAAGACGAGGGATCCCTACAGAGAGGCGCGCGTTTTCCTTTTGTCATGCTACTGCCATTCCCGACCCTCCCGCGACCGTGAGATCAAAAGTCTAGGACTCCCACTTTCTGAGAGAGTGTCTCGGGAGAAAGAGTGCCCTTGACTGTTTTAGGGGTACATTTTGCGCGTAAAGAGGCAAAGCAAAAGCAGCAAAGAATCCCTGTCCCCTTCGCCCTGCTTACCCCCCACCCTGCCCCACCTCCACTCTATTGCTACAGGTAAAGAAGTCGAGCCGGGGGGCGGCGGGGCGGGCCGCGGCGCGTCGGGCTCAGGGGGTGGGGCCAGGATAGGGGGGCCCGGGCTGGGCGCAAGAGGCTTAGGGGTGAATAAAATGCGCGGGGTCCCCATAAGACGGCAGACGGAGGAGGGGCTCTTTAATTAAGGACGGTGACGCCGCGGAGGCAGCCGGGCGTGAGGCAGAGAGCCGGGCCCAGTCTATGGACAAGTGATTACACTATTCAACACTATTATTATCTGGACCGACTGTGCGGCACTGGAGGCACAGAAGTCAGCAGGGGAGGCTAAGGACACATTTTGTAACTAACACGGGACAGAAGTCCTTTGACATTTAGTGTGGACCGAGAATGCATACCAAACTGCCACGTTCACCGTTCATTACCCACCATGCAAGCTCTCCTAGCGCCTGGCAGGTAGGCAACATCTCGCCTGCAGTGCTTGCGCGTGCTGCAGTATGGCCTATCCTGAGTCTCACAGGCGCCGAGCTCTCGCCATTTGATGAATGATTCGGAGAAAAACGGGACATACTTTCCGAACGATTCCTTACAAATAACACCCTCATTGGCATTGGATAGCATATTTGCTGCACAAAAAACACTACTAGTCAGCCTCTACAGGACGCTGCAGTCTGCAGCCGCCGCCCGGACGAAGCCACAACGGGCTTCTCGCTGATTGGCGGCGTACTCAATGGCGCTGGCGCGGCGCAATGTGCGGCTGAACGCCCCCCTTTCTGGTTTCAGACGGGAGTCTTCTTCTGCGTCTCTCCACCCGCCGGGTCCGGGTCTCCGGGTCTCCTGCTGACGAGGCGCCGGCGCCCCCAGCTCGAGCCCCAGCTCGAGCCCCAGCTCCTCTTCTCCAGCGGCGCGCTCGCCTCGCGCGCCCGGGGTCCCCTCCGCCGGTCCCCTCCAAACCCGCCGCCCGGATACACCCACACTTCTTGTCCAGCAAATCGGGCGTAAGTAATGCACGAGAGGTGCACGCCGTCGCCCCGCCGCGCCCCGCCGCGCCCCGCCGCGCCCGCGGGCTGGTCCACACGGCCGGGTCTGTCGCCGTTCCCATGGCTACCGCCCCCGGACCCGGTCCCCCCGGCAAAAAGAAATAATCAGGCGTTTCGTTCCGCTCCGCCCCGTTCCAATCCCCGGGCCGCCCAGGCCGGCTCCGCCCGGCTGCTCCTTCCCACCATTGATCAACGTATTATCACCTTTTTTCCTTTCGCATTATACGGGCCCCGAAATATCCCCGATCCTTCCCCCGAAAGGGAGAGGAACCTTCGAGGGGCAAAAGGGCGTGATGCAGTAGAGAGCGGGGGAGGGGGAGGAAGGGGCGGGAGGAAGAGGGCGCCCCCAGGCAGGCCGCCAAGAGCCGCAGGCTGGCGGGCAGGGCCGCGGAGGAGGGCGCACGGCCCGACGGACCGGACGATATATGTTGCATAATGAAAAAGTTGCCCGGGAGGTACTGGCGCATCCTTTATTCCCCTACAAATAACCTGATTGGGGCCGAGCCCGGGCCGAGCCGAGCCGAGCGGGGCCGGGGCGATGACAGCCCTCCCCGCGGTCGCCAAATGGCCTATGGGCTCGGCCGCCGCCGCCACCGCCGGTCCGCCGGCACTGACTGGATAAGCGGTAAATCTTGTCAGATCCGCTTTGCCGAGTGACTTCAGTACTGCTTGCGCAGCACGGATACCCCCCCCCCCCTCTTCGTTTCCCCCCAAGCACCCAGCCTGCTCTCAGTGGTCGGACGGGGTGCGAGGGGCGGCGAGAGGGGGTGGGGAGCTCGGGAGGACGGCGAGTGAGCGGGCCTCAGGGCGGGCCCAGGGCTGCACGGCCGAGGATACACCCCCTGTGTATGTATTATCGCAGCGAGCAGCAGCAGGTGCAACGCGTGTAGGGTCAGCGCAGTGAGAGAGAAAGAGAGAGAGAGAGAGA